AGGAACAGGAAGCACAAGGAGCAAAAGTCGGTGGAGGCGCTGAAAGGGGATGAGTTTTCTCAGTGGGCTTATGTGATCTACTGGGAAAAATGGGGTTAACAATGGTTAATAATGGTTGTATAATAGTGGTTGATAATGGTTAACAAGTGCCCACACCGGGGCGGAAGTTTCGAAAATAGGACATGGCTATAGGAAAACAATGGCCTATATTATAGGAAAGCTTTTGCGCTGCAGGAGCAATGAAGTGTTGAAGTTATGAGGTGCACAAACGAATGAGCAAAGGGTTGTTGAGATGCCAATGAAATGACATGAAAGAATCCTTGCACAACTGAGTGAATGAACCAATGAAGCAACGAATTGATGAACCAATGATCAATGAATCAGTCAGTCACTGAATCAATGAAGCCATGAGGCAACGACGCAATGACCCAATGAATCAAGCAACCAGTGAACCAATGAATCAATGAACCAGTGAAACAATGAATCAACGGATCAACGAATCAGTGAACCAATGAATCAATGAATCGATGACTCAGTGAAACAATGAATCAATGAATCAATGCATGAATGATTGAGTGAGTGGATGAATCAGTGAATCACTGAACCAATGAATGAATGAAGTGGTAAATGAAAAAATGAATCAGCAATGACTCAGTGAATCAATGGGGCAATGAACCGATGAATCAATGAAATGATGATTGAGTGAATCAATGACTCGGTGAATCGGAGATTCAGTGAATCAATGAACAAATGCACAAGTCGAACTAGTGAGTCAATGAATCAGTGAATCAACGACTCAATGAATCAATGGTTCAATGATTCAGTCAGTCAATGAATCATGATTGAACCGCTGAATCAATGAACCAAGGAACCAATGAGTCAACGAATGAAGAAATTGAGCCATTTTCATACGAAATTGTGCGCATGATGATGTGGTTGACATGTGACATGAACATGATGACAAGAATGACAAGACAGCCCCTGGACATTCGTCCGTAACTCGGAAGTGTTTGAACATGTTTGAACTACACTTCCTTTGGACTGAAATTGGTTGACAATGGTTCTTAATCAAGTTTAGTTCGAACACTTCCGAGTTACGGACGGATGTCCAGGGGCTGTCTTGTCATCATGTTCATGTCTCATCATGCCAACCACATCATCATGTCAAACACTCATCAGGAAGGAATTGGGAAGAGTGACAGTTTGGGAACGCGCGAGTTCACGGGTGCAAGCACTCTCCGGCGCGAAACCTTGTGTTTTTTCGGGTAAAGTGGCTTCCGTGGTCGCCGGTCGCTGTTTCCGGGGTTGCGGGCGTTGATCTGAAAAGTGCACAGGATTGTAGAGTTTGATTTTCACTTCAGAGTCTTCAAAGTGTTAAAAAAAACTGACGGGCCCGGAGCGCTTTTGGGAAGATGAGGTCGGCAAAACGGGCGCGAGACTGTAGCGAGAGCTTGGTTGCCACTTCAACATGTTCAAAAAACTCACCGGCGCGGAACACTTTTGGAAGATGAGGTCGGCAAAATGTGTACAGGACTGTGGCAAGAGCTCGATTTGCACAAAAAATCGTTAAAAATTTAGGCGCTGGCAGCACTTTTGGAAGATGAGGTCGGCAAAATGTCGACGATACTGTACCAAGAGCTCATTTTCACACAAAAATCGCAAAACAAATTGAGGGGATCGGAACACTCTTGGAAGATGAGGTCGGTAAGAATCGCCCAAAACAATTGCCTTGCATTGAAAAATCGCCCAAAAATGATGGGATCGGAGCACTGTTGGTTGATGAAGCTGGCAAAATCTGCACGAGACTGTAGCGAGAGCTCGATTTCACAGAAAAATCGCGAAAGAAACTGAGGGGATCGGATGATGGGAGCACTTTTGGAAGATGAGGTTCGCTAAATTTCTTCATTCGTTGATTCATTGGTCATTGATGTGGTGAATCACGGGTTTATTGATGGATTGATATATTGAGTCACTGAAGCGGAAGCGTTGACCATTGGTTCATTGATTATATTGATTGGTTGACTCACTGATTCATATTGGCTGACTGACTTGCTGCACCGTTGATTCATTGATTCGTTGGTTCACTGATTCGTCGATTCAATGACTCATCGATTCACTGAACCGTTGAACCATTCATTTATTGCCTCATTGACTCATTCAATCGTTGCATCATTGATTTCATTGGTTCCTTGATTGAGGGATCAGTTGGTTCATGGATTCATCGATTCAATGATTCATTGATTTGTTGACTTGAGTTATTGGTGAATGGTTAACTAATGGTTCGTTAGTTCCTTGAATCTTCGAATTATTGAGTGATTGGTTTATTGATGCAGTGGTTCACTGATTCAGTCATTCGTTGGTTCATTGATTCACTGAATTGTTCATTCATTCCATTCGTACCATTTACTCCTGCCAGTTCATTTCATGTCATCGCGTGTTTCCTTTTTTGCAAACTTCATCTCATCGCTTTCCAGCTCACAAACAACTCCCATAAACATCCATAAACAATCTCTTCGTATAGTCATGTCCATTTTTCGAAACTTCCGCCCCGGTGAGTGCCGGGCACTACTGGTATTTAATGGTTAAGACGCCTAAAAAAAATGATGAACAGTGATTGCAAGACGCCCCTTTTGGGTGATGATTAGTTCGGGAATTACGTTACCAATTTTGGGGGATTATCATAGCCCATTTTTTGGGAATCCGGTTTTTTAGCAACCAATAGATACGTGATATTTCGTTCTATCAGAAAATAACAATCGTGAAAAAAACTGTCAACTTGGGTTCTCCAGTGGATCGGCACTGGGCGAGACCCTCGTTGGAAAAAAAACTTAGTGTTAAGATTACTTGGTTTCCAATGAAACATAAACGATAACCCAACAGACAAACAAGGGTTTTCCGCATGAACATCTTTCGCAAGTGCGATTTCCTTTGGAAAGGGGATATCGATTCTCACCACATCATCGCGTTCTTGAAAAGTGCAATATAGGCCTGAACCAGATCCAGAACCGACTAGATCTGGCTGGTTCTTGGGTCGGTTCCAATGGTGAAACCAATGGGTTTGGGATGGTTTGGGTTAGCCCGGTCTTGAGCAACACCTGTTTCCGTAAATGGGGGTACCCCAAAACCATACTAAAATTGTCTAATTTTGGATGATTGGGAGTACCCCTATTTTAGGAAACCACCGAGAAGATCCGAGAAGTGTTTCAGCAAAAGAATCATCAGCTTTGCTGTCACGCGTTTTGGCTCGTGCGCTGCGTTCGCGGCTGGTAGTTCCAGAGTAATTGAGAAGCCAGAAGGGAGAATCTGAGAAGAAGTGCCATGGCAGCAGGGCCTGTTGACCCCTGTTGGGTGATGCTGCTACGAGGGCCCTCCTGGGATAGTTATGAGTCCTTTGGGATGCCAGTGCTACCAACCATGGTAGAATCAACACTAAATGTCCGAAACTCCTGAGCAAAACCATTTCTTGGGCCTCTTTCCCTCCGTGAACCCAAATGTACAACTCACGACATAATTGTCAGTTTCTCTACAGCAAGTCATTCCAGAAATATATTGCTTACTGACAATTGGTCACTTACTGAGAGTATACTGAGAGTCATTCATTTAAGGACTCGAGGGCACGGTGAGTATTTCAAATAGCTATGGCTCACATTATCAAATTACTGTATCATATATATATATATGTATATATATATATATATGTGTATATATATGTATATATATATATGTATATATATATATATGTATATATATATATATGTATATATATGGGAGTCGTCCTAAAACCCATGCAAGGCTTTTAGTATCCGAGTGACATCTGCAGATATGGATGTGTGTGTTTTGCTGCAGTGGCGAAAGGCCGCGAAAGCGCGGCGTAAGGGTTGCGAAAGGTCTGAATACCACTATTTATAAATATATAAGTTATAGATAGTTATAGTATTCATATTTGGCAGTTTTCCTTGCAGAATTGCCACAGGATTCATGTTTCGTATTGTCCCATGTTCTGACAATTGGCAGTGGCACCCTGCATGATTGGCATAAATTATAAAAGACACCCTTGCATAAACATTAGTTTCTGAAATTTCATTTTTTAGACGAGAAATCCGCGAAAGGTTCGCGAAAGGTCCGCGAAAGGTTCGCGAAAGGCGAATCCTCCCGGACCCAACCCTGGCCCAAAATGGGCTAGTTCTTTCTGCATTGTCGCAACTTCAAAAGCTTTTCAAAGAATGGGTGCAAAACCAATGTCCAGAAGTCAAACGTCCTCACAGGAACACTGACTTGCCCAATGCCATCGACTCTGTGGACTGGAACAGACTCATCACGCACAGCAGGAATGTAACTAGAGCAGCTTTGAAAACGGATCTCCAATCAGTAATGTTTTTAAATACAATCCTCCTGTAAATCTTTGTGACGAATTTGCACACGAAAACCTGATCATTATCCCATGTCCCGATTCTGCTGGGGCGCGGAAGGGCGCGAAAGGTTCGCGAAAGCGCGGCGTAAGGGCAGTTTTCGGGTACCATAATTTTTGATAACCCCCATATATACACATTATATAATTATATATATATACTGCAGCCAAATTTTACCGTAATTTGGGTAAATGGGGTAACTTAGGGCGTCTGCTAGTAGTATCCGAGACATCTTTATTTTTTGGAAATTGAGCTGGGGCTTGGAAAACGATAATACACTGTTCAAAAACGATAACATTTGCTATATTCCCAAAACCTGAAAAACGATAATACACTCTTCAAGAGACACTCTTCAAAAATTGATGTCTTGGAGCTATAGACTAGATATTGACCGTGGCCCTAATGTGTAGTATTGACGGACATACACTTAGAACATCATTTGGAAAAATCAGGAAATATCATACACTTAGAACATATCCAACATATACACTTAGAACATCTTAGAACATCCTAGGGGGAAGCATATAGTGGGCTTCATATAATGGGGAAAACCTACGGTTTTGGGCTACCCCAACGAAACCTCCAAATTATCCAAATTATCAGAGACCTTTCCCATTCCAGTCTTTGTATGCGATATCGTTCCGGAAGAAAAGGCAGTTGGCTTCCAGAAGCAGTGATCTAAGTGTGGTGTTCACAAAGGTATTTGGGTGATTCTGAATGTATACATGCAGATTTGCCAAAGTCAATGGGGGGTGTTCTTAGTGTATAACCTCCGGAAGTTCTAAGTGGGCAAGAATATATGGAGATGTTCTTAGTGTAAAACCTCTGGATTTTCTAATTGGGTACTTGGAACATCAGCCCATGTGGGCCCATGTTCTAAGTGTATGGTCGGTTAATGCTCTAAGTATCTCTAAGTGCAGGGTTGAACATTTTGGAAAACATGTTCTAAGTGGTTGTCCGTCACTATATAGAGGGTACCAATGGACCGGACCCACATCTTTAATGTTTTTAGTTGTAGTATTTTCACCGTCACCATCCTTCAATCCTTCATCTTTGATCATGTTTAGTAAGTTTAGTATTCAACCATTTGTTTTATGTGGCAATTAATTAATGTTGAGCCATTCCCAAATCAGGTCATTGTTGATGTCCGAAGAGAGTCCTGCAGTGGCGGATCTGAACAGACGCGAATCAGCTTCATCAGCTTCATCAGCTTCATCGGCTTCCACACTCACAGGCGAGGGGTGAGGCAAACATGGGAAGTATCAATGGAATCCCCTATGAATGGAGATTTCATTGGGACAATAATCTATAAATTACTATACATGGTGTCTTTTAGTTGCCATGTTTGATTACCCGAGGGTATCACAGACTGTTTCGTGGTTGTATGGATTTTACTTTCCATCCTACCTGGTATTGTGATCCCTTCATATTTCAGTTTATATTTCAGTAGGGTTAAAACATGTTAAAACCACAAGCATTTGCTGCTTCAGTCCACTCGACTCACCACTTTTCTGCGAGAGCTGAGGGGATTGATGGACTAATGGGGCCCAACAAAAATATATGATCATATGTATTCCTTAGATGAGGTACCTGCAAGCTAGTCTGTATATTTGGGCATGGAAATTGGGTCAAATGGTCAAAACCACGGATTCTCAGTATCTCTGGTACACCATTGGGTACGTCCACCTCAATTGTCGGGATGATTCTCCCCCAAGTGATTCATTCATTCGGTGCGCATGCCTTAGCTTGACATGAAAGTCAGTGGGCCTAGGTGGAGGAAATTTCTGCCCAACCAGAATGTTGAACAAGTAGCGCTAAGCCCACAATATACAGGTCTTAAATTCAGGTTGATGAAACATCATAATTTAGCTAGATTGGATGTTGCTCGCTGTCAGTCCTGGAGGATGGGTTCTACGTGTGAACAAGAGTCTTCGGGATCACTCAGCCAACAAAGAAGCCATGAAGTCGTCGGAGGAGTCTGGAAATTCTGGATCAGATGAGGATTCAGATTCAGGCCCTGCGAGGGATGCTTATCAAGATGTTCGTCAAGATGTTCATCAAGATTCGCATCATCGAGATTCTCATCATCGAGATGTTCAAGATCACACAGAGTTGCCTTGCCTCTTCCATTCCTACCTCGCCGGATGTGCCAACGGGCAGCACTGCAGATTCTCTCACTCCATCCATGCGGATCAGGTGCGCGTCCCCTCGGTGAAGAAGGGGCGTGGCGTGGCGCGCAAACGCATCAAGAAACGGGTGACGCAGCATCTCGACGCAGCCAATCTGTATGCGGTGCAAGAGATTCTGCAAAGAGAGGCAGAGTGGGACTCCTTTGCCAAAGACTTGATCAGCATCTGGGAGCTGATTTCAGTCACAAATCAAAAACCACTCGAGGACTAATCGGGGATCAGTCATGGTATATCATGGTATGGGACATTGGACATATTTGGACTAAACATCGGTAGAGATCCACACCCCTAAAGCATTTCAAACAATATGGAGGTGTCCTAAAATGCAGGTACCCCCAAATCATCCAAAATTAGACCACTTTAGTATTGAAACCCATGGTTTAGGGGATCCCCAGTTTTAAGAAACCTCCATGTGTTCAAATATCTGAAAACCGGAATACCTTCGTATTTTCCATCCTTGTTTGATGGTTTCGTAGCTTGAACTTTATGTGATAAATGGCTTAGATCTTTCTGTTGGGTGTAATGCAACATGATGAAACCATTATACAATCTCATGAAGAAATATGGTGTGCTGGAAATTTCCCTGTGTTATTACATGTAGTGTGTTTGTTTCCAAATCGCGATCTGCGATCCAAAGAGGTCTGTTGTCTTCACTATATTTGCTTGATTTTTGTTGGGCAATTTCCCACCATTATCAATGTTTGATAATTTTTCATATTTTTGCTGGTCAAAGTACCATTTTGGATATGTTAGAGCACCAGTACGACTCGTCCCAGGAAGGCATTTGACTGCAATAGCGACTTCCGCAGAAGAGCGCCTTTGCTTGTGAACTGATCCATCTACAGAGTTTGATAGTTCTTCCGCATGGCTATGGATCGAAATATGTCGAAATTATATCACTGAAATTCAATTTGAACATAAACACATTTTCCACCAAGTTCATGAAGGATTTCATAGCAAGAGTTGACCAGTTTTGTGGGTCATATCATTTTGACCCATTCGAATTTTGGGTCGGGATGGCCTACCAATGGCCGGGGGGTTTCCGTAGAACCAGAGTTGCACATTCATCAACATATAGTATCATATAGTCACAATATATGTATATAATATACATATACATATGTTGTATGTTACATAGCGATTTGCCATGAAACACATCCTAGTCTTTTAACATATTTTAACTATTTTGTATACAATATTATGTAATATGTTGTATTTTGATGTATTTTGATGTATTTTGGGTGTTTGTACTGAGATGTTGACTGACAGATGGTATGGATCAAAACTTGGTACGAGGTACAGTGCAAAAAGGAGATAGTCGTCACCACCCGGTCAAGTAATTCACAACGATCTAAAAATCAATCAATCTGTGTCTGTCAGAGTCGGGAGTGATCAGCTCTCTGAAATCTTCAGAGTCTTCAGAGAGGCCTGATGCCACTTGGAAGAAGTGCATACGACCCACTCCCACTGCCAATTGCATTCCGATGATATGTATATATATAGTTTATACATATATACGCGCAACGCCTGGGCTTTGCCCAGGCGTTGCAGCGTAGAGGTTTCCCATTCCCAAACAAATGTTGATGCAACTTCACAAAATTCCTATGGGAAAATCAACAAAGGTACTACGGAATATTAAACTCCCACCCCCGTTAAACTTTACATTCAATTAGGAAGATCAACAAAGGTACAAGGGAATATTAACCTCCCAACCCCGTGAAACTTTACAGGGAATATTAAACTCCCACCCCCGTGAAACTTTACATTCCACTGAGAAGATCAACTAAGGTATGAGGGAATATTAAAGTCCCACCCCCGTGAAACTTTACATTCCATTGGGAAGATCAACAAAGGTACTAGGGAATATTAAACTCCCACCCCCGTTAAACTTTACATTCCATTGAGAAGATCAACAAAGGTACTATATAGGGAATATTAAACTCCCACCCCCGTTAAACCTTAAATTCCTGTGGGAAAAACAACAAAGGCACTAGGGAATATTAAACTCCCACCCCCGTGAAACTTTACATTCCATTGAGAAGATCAACAAAGGTATGAGGGAATATTAGAGTCCCACCCCCGTGAAACTTTAAATTCCATTGGGAAGATCAACAAAGGTACTATATAGGGAATATTAAACCCCCACCCCCGTTAAACCTTAAATTCCTATGGGAAAAACAACAAAGGCACTAGGGAATATTAAAGTCCCACCCCCGTGAAACTTTACATTCCATTGGGAAGATCAACAAAGGTACTAGGGAATATTAAACTCCCACCACCGTGAAACTTTACATTCCATTGAGAAGATCAACAAAGGTATGAGGGAATATTAAACTCCCACCCCCGTTAAACTTTACATTCCATTGAGAAGATCAACAAAGGTACTATATAGGGAATATTAAACCCCCACCCCCGTTAAACCTTAAATTCCTATGGGAAAAACAACAAAGGCACTAGGGAATATTAAACTCCCACCCCCGTGAAACTTTACATTCCATTGGGAAGATCAACAAAGGTATGAGGGAATATTAAAGTCCCACCCCCGTGAAACTTTACATTCCATTGAGAAGATCAACAAAGGTATTAGGGAATATTAAAGTACCACCGCCGTTGAACTTTACATTCAATGAAGATCTTCAATAAGGGTTTAATTCTCCCACCCCCGTTGAACTTTACATTCAATGAAGATCTTCAATAAGGGTTTAATTCTCCCACCCCCGTTAAACGTCTACATTCATTGAAGATCTTCAATAAGGGTTTAATTCTCCCACCTCCGTTAAACTTTACATTCATTATTGGTGATCTTCAATAAGGGTTTAATTCTCCCACCCCCGTTAAACTTCTACATTCATTGAAGATCTTCGATAAGGGTTTATATAATTCTCCCACTCCGTTAAACTTCTACATTCATTGAAGATCTTTAATAAGGGTTAAACTTCTATCTTCATTTTGAAGATCTTCAACAAGGGTTTAATTCTCCCACCCCTGTTAAACTTCTACATTCATTGAAGATCTTTAATAAGGGTTTAATTCTCCCACCCCCGTTAACCTTCTATCTTCATTTTGAAGATCTTCAACAAGGGTTTGATGATGATGATGACGATGATGATGATGATGATGCTGATGCTGATGATGCGTTGCCTGTCGTGGTTGCGGTTCCGCGCAAAGCCCAGGCATTTGCCGTGTATATATATATATATATAGAGAGAGAGAGACTTACTTGATTTTGCAGAATCATGAGCGAGCATTTGCCGGCTACGCTGGGTAGAACTGGCAATTAATTCTTAGAGGCAATCACTGACGGGCAGGATCTTTGGAGAAACGTCAATTTTCAATCGATGAATCAGTCTTATCACTGAAACCGAATCCAGCCCCACATCCCATGACATGTTTCAGTTCCACGCGGCAAACATTTGAGTCACAGATGTCCTTTCCCCACACATGGAGGGGTAAGCATTCATGTTTAGCAACAACTGGCTATAGGTTCATTGTTTCTTGGTGGATGTCGCCGAGTGTTGAACCCCATACGATGTATAGCTGCACCTCATCTCCCATCAAGGGAAACCATTCAAGCTCTTGGATTCCTCATTTGAACCTATCAACGTATTGGGGCAGTGGAAAATCGGGGGAAAGCCACCGTTTTGATTCTGTAAATTGCGCATTAAACTTTACACAACCACCTTCCACAATTCTATACATTGTGGTACTCTGATAGGTTCACTTCTTCCAGTTCCCTCTCCCTGCCGTATGCACAGCCAGTGATGATGCCGGTGCTGAAGCGAGTGAGCTTATGGTGGAATATGTGGAACTAGACAATACATTATTCATCATTAATTCTAGTTGTTGGTCTAAAGCCAAGCGGTCCGGCGACTGTTCTCATTTCATTGGCTTTTGTTGTGCCGGACATATGAGCCTTCGCGTCAGCCCTGAGCCACTGATAGCCACTGGTACAAATTTGATATTCCAACGGTTTGCAGCTGTCAAGCACCATCCAAAATCGGGACTTAAACGAAATGCAGCCGACAGCTGGGGCGCCGTGGAGTTCTGATAACTTGGCTGAGAAAGTCATCTCTGGATCCCAAGCGGAACCCGACCGGGGGATCTTCAGCCGAGTTGCCGCGGAAATACATGCCAGGATCAGTTGTATACTAGATATTACAGTTCCTTGTCCATGAAGTTCCAGTATGTACAGTTTCAGCAGTTCCCGCAGTTCCTGTTGCGACACAATCACCTACAAAAAGATGTGGAAAAATGAAAGACGGCTGTGTGAATGAACGTGGGTATATACCGATACCCCATCTTTTTTTCCCAAGGCCATGTTCTTTCCAAGGTCCTCAGATAGAACATCGGGAGTTTCAAACCGCTTTGCCTGAAGCGTCCACACTTTGGCATTGTTTGCCATGTTTGGTCAGCTGGTTTGTGGCCTGAGAACTTTGGTTTGCATCCAATATGATCCAAAGTGGCCCGAAACAAGGGAACCTGATAATCATTAGTAGCCATTTTGGATCATATTGGATCAGTAGCGTATTTTCAGAAAATCATTAATACTGTCTGGAAATCATTGATAATCAGTATCAGTAGCCTATTTCCAGACACAGGAAGCTCCCTGACTGGGGGGATAACCCGCATCCAGGAAAAGAGGGAAAAGACGACAACCTGATAGAAAGGCTGAAGTTTTCGGCTTCACATAGGGTCCAGGAGTGTGCAGCTTCATGGCCTTGCTGGACTTTAAAAGTATCCCATGGTATCCCATGTGTCCCTTCCGCTCTAGACTGCTATGATATGCTATGATGTTTTGTCGTGAAAACAAGATACTTATCACACTTCATCATTGTGGCATGGTCATGTGTTGGGCATGCTGACCAGGATCCAAGTAGTATCAAGTCGTTATAGTTGAAGTCTGAAGCAGACTGGAGGCCACCCTATTTGGATTGATCCAAGGACAAACATGTTTCAAATTAGTATATTTGTACTGTACGGCAGCCCCCAAAAAGATAGAACAGATTCAATTTATCATGTTTTTAGTTGGATTTTGACAAATTCTATATATTTTTTTTGTCTTCCCGTGTTTTCTTTGTGAAACCGATTTTCAGTTTCACTTTGAAGACTCAATGACCAACTGGCCCAGTTGTTTAGGCTGACACGTGCCAGGAAAAGGGAGAACAACGAGAAGAAGGACGGATTGCAGAAGATGAAGGTTTAGTATGGGATAGGATTATACATGACATTATTATACCATTTATCATTCTATACTGTCCCTGGATACATATGGATATACGTGATCCATGACTAAAACTGGTGTAAACAAAGATGCTTACTACTAAAATTGGGATGCACAGATTAGAGGTCATCGATTTTGAACAAAGTTTTGACAGTGTGGCATCATTTGTTTGCGAACTTAGGGTGCCCAACCAAGAGAAAATACCAATGTGATCCAATGTATTTTTTCTCAAAAGATCAAACTTTGGTACATGTTGTTTTTTGAGTATTGTAGGGTTTCATTATCACATGCCTTTAAAAAAAGGTATTTTTTATGGTACCCGTATCATCTCAAATCCTCCGGTAATCAAACGTGGCAATTGTCCACCAGTGATAAAATGTTCGTCGATTTTCCAGGCAGCCACGTTTGATTGCAAGAGGGTATATCCATTACTGTAATATTCCATTTATTTACTAATTCATTATATCCCATTTAAACTCCTTTATATTCTCATTATATCGTTAAATCCACTTAAAATCCCATTAAATCCCGTTCTAGCTACACTATGTCAGGTCTATGCTGCAGGTGCCCTGGCAAAAGGATGTGCAGGTCCAGGTTGGCGCGTCGGTTCTCATTTCTTATTTCCATGAACATCAAAGGATGTTCGATGATGTTTAATGCGTGTTTTTCGTTTTTTTTTTTAATGGCGATTTAGGAGAATGAATTCAACTATATAGATTGTCTTATTGCTGCTGATATCTTTATCGAAATCGCTTTGGCTTCAGTCTTGGGCAGCACTTACTGCACAAATTTGTTGCGCCAGCCATCTCCTCCTAGGTGGTGGCCCCAAATTGCCGATTGATGTCGATTGGGTCTAGCCCGGTCCATTTTATGTTTTTTCATACGTAGTTCTGCCAAGTCTTCTTGAATCCATGTCACAGTTTTTTTGTGGAAGACCCGGATCGTTGTCCCATGTTGTCCCCACCTGACTGAAGCCTAGTGGAAGTCGCGCAGGACAAAACAGCACTCCTTTGAAGTATCCTAAAGTAGACAGGATGCGAAATATACGAAATTGGTACTCAAATCGGCAAAAGACACTCCACAACACATCAAAATTGAGTTATATTTGATGATAAAAGGTGTACCTGTGATTATGTGATCCTTTGCAACCTTCAGGAAGACTACTAACCAAAAATCCAAGTTGCTTTTGGCGAACACACGGATAGCTCATGGTATGCATGGTAATTTAAAAAAAACATGTAATTCCTATACATTTCCTTGCATGATTTCCCATGCAAAGGTAGATAACTGGAAGTCAGTTAAGCCTTCAGATTGCACGAGGGTAGCTACCCCCAACTTGGCTTCAGATGGTTAACTGATGCCAGTTCCATGATTTGAATATATTTGAATGGAGTTGTATGTAGTCGAGTGACCTCGGTCCTGAAGTTGTCCAGGTCACTTCTTGCTCCAATGTCTCACTGGAGATATTGGCGCACGATAGAGGAAGATTCTACCATGCTATGATGCGATGTTCCCACGTTTCCTGTAGAGGGTCATTCTCGAAGCTTGTTGAGGAAAAAAGGTCCCAAGATATCCCAAGACTCGTTTTCAGTGGAAGAAGTCGATCTGTGATGATCTGTTTATTTTGGATATTGACAGATAAGGACCACCAATTTGTTCGTTTCAAATATTGTACATCCCATGTTGGGTCCCCGAGTTTGAACCGTGCAGCAAGTCATGACTTCGTAGTCAGTTCACCCTGGTTGTTTTTCCCACCAAAAATAGCTGTGAAATTGATCTTGTCCCATCTTGTCCCCCAAAAACTGGTCACAGAGGTTCAATGCCCATTTTTTCATCCACAGCTTTGCATTGATATTGGTTATATCCTCATTTGGCTGTCAACATCTCCATTGATAAGAAAAAACATATCATCGATTCATTCCGGATAGATTGAGCCTAAGGTTTTGTGGGATAATCCTCAACCACAACATAATCCCAGCCCAACAATATCCATTAGTTCCAAAGGTAGTATCGCCTACAATACCATTGTATAACCATATTAAGCAGGCCCCAACAAGATACCAACGTAGATATATACAATATGATACAATCCGACAGCAAAATGGTAAAACGACCTTTCTTATATGTTCTTATCCTTTCTTTTGAGTTGCATCATTTTTTTCTGTTTGTCCAGTGTGTTGGCCAAGGTGAGCTGGCCATCGAATGTCAGAAGTGCAGAGAGACCAGTGAAGCGCAGGCAGTCAGTGGTGTCCCGCTGGCTTACAGTAGCCTTCAGTGGCTGTAGCTTAGGACTGTCAATATGCGGGTTTCCAGAGTCATGGTGGTACCCCAATAGCTGGATGGTTTATTTCATGGAAAATCCATCTATGAATGGATGATTTAGGGGTACCCCTATTTTAGGAAACCTCCATATCTGTCAATGGATTGGCCTGGCAAATCTTCACGGGAAACCGGCCGGTTTCAGCAGCATGTTGCTTCATTGAACCGAGTCTGAGCCCATTTTAGTGGCATAAACTCGAAAGCCACTTCACTATCTTCAGTGGCATTTAGCCCAGTCAATCCCATTTAACATTCATTGCCACCCGATTTTTCTCGGGGCCAGGGCATTCCTGTGTATTTCGTTTGAAGCTGAGGATCCCAACGGGGAAAAACTGAAGCAGCGCAGACACGCCACTTTTCTTGAGCCAACAAGTCGGTCGATTTGAGTGTGTCATCCTTGCAGCAGGTGGCTATGCAACAGGAAGGTCATCCTAGCACAGGGGCCATGCCACTCTAGTCACACATCAGGGCAAGGGCTAGTTACACTTCTCGATTTGTAGTGTCAAGTCACCCACACTCCCCCTTGCTGCCTTGCAGCAATCGAGAAACAAAATCAACCATCTCAAGCAGCTACTGGTTGAACTTCGTCGCCTCAGGAAAAATCCAAAAAAGAAAAGGTAAGCCTCTGAGCGCTCACATGTCCTCCTCCTCGCAAAGCTGCTAAGAAAGGAGAGCGTCCTCTATGAGGCCCACCAGGTACTTCCCCAGCTGTTGGAGGTGATCCGTCGGTCGAAGGACTTCCACCCAAAGAGATCGGTCCTGCACCGGCGGAGGATGGACCCCGACAGTTTGTTGGTGTAGACCTCCAGCACCGGCAGCAAGTTCACCATTCATCGTTCCACCATTCGCTAAAACAGGAGGAGGAGATGTTGAAGTCCGCTGCAGCGATGGCATCGGTGGTACAGCCCCACCAGGTCCTTGATCACTTTGAAACTGTATGATACGATCGGACTTCTCTTTTATCACCTCGAATCTTCTTGGCTTCCCTCAGAAAGTTCTCTTCAGCCTCCTGGGCGATCCAAGGGCCTGCCCAAGGCCAGCACATTGCGTAGATCCAAGGGCCTGCTCAGTGCCCACGTGTTTACATACTCTACCATGGGCCTGCACAAGGCCAGAACTGCAAGAAGGGGCCTGCACTATAGGGCTGCCAGCAGCTCAACAAAAGTCACCAGTGCTTTCAAGCCAGAACCAAAAATGGCAGCCTTATCCATCAAGTATTTGATCCATCCCACATCATAGAATGCCAGTGCAAGTGAGCATGCAAGCTTGAGTGGCAGGGCCCTGCAGCAAAACACACACACACACAGTGCAGACTTGTAGTGGAGTATCTGTCAAGTCAATCACCCGCAGATCCATGGCAAGCAAGATAGCACTACGACACTTTGGCGTTTTGATGCCAAGCAGTCAAAATCATGTAAAAAACCGCCCCAAAACCAAGTATTGAACCAAACCAAGCATTGAACCACAAGGCCGGCTCATTCACCTCAGGCACCTGGGTCGGTTGGTCCCTTGCTTTCCTATCGATTTCAATCAGGCGACCAAGCCTCTCGTCAGCACTCTCCCCATGCAGCTAGCATGCTGGCGCCGTCTATCCATGACAACCAGCTCCACACATCAAGGCTACACAAGCGCAAGGCTTGGGTTCATAACCTGAGGATCCCAAAGGGGAAGAACTGAGACACGCCACTTTTCTTGAGCCAACAAGTCGGTCGATTTGAGTGTGTCATCCTTGCAGCAGGTGGCCTTGCAACAGGAAGGTCATCCTAATACAGGGGCCATGCCACTCTAGTCACACATCAGGGCAAGAGCTAGTTACACTTCTCGATTTGCAGTGTCAAATTACACAGCAACAGATCTCGGCACCAGCTTAAGGACAAGATATGCGAAGATTTTGTGCACGTCCCCCAATGTTTGTTTGGGATGGGAGACAATTCGGTGGCTCAAAACCCTCGAAGCACAAACATTTTTTTTGATTTTTTTTGCGGGTTAAGCACCTGCAAAGACAATGTCTTTTCATGTGTTTGGACTGTATTACAAAGACTTCATGTGCAAATGACCATAGGCACAGCAATCAACTTTCGTGGGCGCTCTCGTTCTTTGGGGTTTGCAAAGTTCTCGTGGTCACTTCCGACTCGCAAACACGTGGTTTATAATAATATAGACACTCTCAATCCGAAGAATTTGGAATTTGTTTTATTGAGGGCTGGGAAAAGTGTGAATTTTGATCCATTTTGAGGATGGTTGTTGGGAACGATTTGTCTAGCGTTTGGGAGGCTGAGATGCTGCAACAGCTGGCTGCAGTGATGGGGTGTTGCAAGGACGAATTGCCTAACCGTCAGGGCACCATTTTGCAGGGCACTGGAGGGGAGGGGAATACCTTCTAGTAATTTTTATAGGTAAATCATCGTGAATTGCCATGGATATATAACTGGGAAATCATGGTAAGTCATGGTGAATCATCTGTAAATGGACCCTTTCCCATAGCAAACTGTTGAATTGGTAGACGGTAAGCTTCCCACGGCCCCATGGTTTGGTAGGTTTTATCGTTTATGGCATGGAATAGGTCAGCATATATAGGAACCAGAACGGGATAATTTTTCTATGATGCCCCAGATGCAACCGAGATGAACATAAGGGGAATATACCAACCAGTGACTAACCAGTGATTTCCACAACTCCCATGCTTGGTGTTTGGACTCGGTGTTTTCTTCGGTTTTATTTCTCCACTTCTTCATCCAATGGGATGATCGATGATCCATGATCCCAATAGACTTGATTATATGTATAGGCGTTTCTGTTGATCAAATGTGAATATAGGTTTCAAGGTTTCAAAGTCAACAGTTATTTATTTATTTATAAATATAATTATATATTATAAAATATTATATATATCCCTCCGGGGCGGACGTTCGCCCAACGCTTCATTGGGAGTTTAGCTGCGTTGTGACTGATTTGTTCAGGATATGTTGCAGATTGTTTTAGGGTTTGCTTAGGGTTGGTTTAGATTTTCTTTGGGGTTTGTTTAGTTACTGTAATTGTCGTGCTATTTAGGGTTGTTTTAGGGTTTGCTCGCGGTTGTTTTAGGGTCTATTTAGGGCTATTTATGGTTGATTTAGGGTTGGTTTAGGGTTTGTTTCGGGTTTATTTAGGGTTAGGTTATTTTGGTGTTCTTTCAAAGTCTTGCGGTTTGTTGAGGTCTCAGTTAACGGCTCGAAACGCTGCAAATTACGGAGGATATCTTTAAGAGACGCTCCAAAAGGAAATTTTGGCACCGTCTTAGCTAAGCGCAAAAATGCCACGAGACGCAGGTAATATCAAAATTTCGCATGCTCGCAGTGTGCGAGAAACACGCGCGGAAGCAACACAGCAGATTGCAGTCCCGAATGGAATTCCGTTGATTTCGGGCAAATGTCAGCCCTCTAGTGATATATATATATATAATAAGATTTTTAGGATATGTTTGGGATGGGAGGCTCGCCGACCAAGGCGCGCATGCCTTGGTCCAGAAGTGCCACGAGCATTTGGCTGCACAGCGTCTGGTGTGGAGCCTGGGCAGCTGACGTGTAGACATAGAACGACGACAAATGTGTGTGAAGGTACAGTCGTTGTATGTCGTGGTTTCCGTATATACTGTATATATATATAGTATATATATAGTATATATATATAGTATATATATATATAGTATATATATAGTATATATATAGTATATATATAGTATATATATAGTATATATATAGTATATATATATAGTATATATATAGTATATATATAGTATATATATATAGTAAAAATATATAGTAAAAATATAGTGTATATATATAGTATATATATATATAGTATATATATATAGAGTATATATATAGAGTATATACATAGTATATATGTATACATAGTATATATATATGTTGTGTATATATATATATTGTATATATAGTATACGTATATAGTATATGTAAATAGACATTTTTATTTAATTATACAATACCACAGATATGCGTAAATACTTTTTTTAAAATAACTAAATAAATATATATATATATACATATTGATATTATCAAATTTCAGGAGCTCCTGGGATTTTGGGATTTTGAGGGAATATTGGATATCAAGGTGAAGATGCAATATTTGGTGCAGTGTACGCGCACGAGGGTCGCACGAAAAAACTTCAGCGTCATGGTTTGCTTGGGTGTGCACTGCATCAGCCTTCCATACACGGAATTGGCCCATTTAATCGTCTTTGTCCTGAATTGTTTTTTCATGGGCCATCCATTTAGTGATCATGTCGCCGTGTTCCCCATCACAATGGCCATCTCTTCAGTCCCATCCATTTGGCACATCGAGGCTTGTAAGTTGCGAGATGATTTGGCAGAGGCCGCGATGTCCTCCAACATGGCTGGGAATATCAAAACGGGAGATGTTCCATTGCCATGTTTGATTGCCGGATGGCAGCATGGTTAGATAATGTTAGATACATACATATATTTAAATTTACATATTATATTACATTATATTATATTTTATTTTTGTATTACTTTATGTTTTACTGTTATATTATATATATTTTTATTTATATTATTATACTATACTATATCATATTATAGTTTATTATATTAGATTTTCAAAAAACTATATTATATTATGTTTATACTTTTTTAGTTATATATATATGTGATATTATTATGGTTTGTTATATTATACTATTATATAATATATTATATTATAATATATTATACTATGTTTATTTTATTATATTCTATTATATTCCTTTATACTATATTATATTATATTGTTTAAATTGTATTATATTTTTTATATTATATTGTTTTTTATTTTTTATATTATATTGTTTCTATTATACTCTATTATATTCTTTTATGCTATATTATATTATGTTATATTATATTATATTGTATTACCTTATATTACATTATATTATATTATATTATATTTTATTATATTATATTATAATATATATTATGTCTTTATATTTTGTGATATTATATTATGGTGTTTTTTTTTTGTTTTTTCTGTTTTTTTTTATAAATATGCTATTTATTATTTTCGTTTTTTTTTAAATATATGCTATTTATTTATTTTTTTAATATATTGATACCTTATTACGGTATATATATAATTATTATTGTTAGTTTTAATCTTTATAATAATATATATACATTATATATATAGCGTTTCAACATTGTATTTATATTTATATATTTTATATTGTATATTTATATATTTATATTGTATATATTGTATATTATATATTGTATTTATATATATATTGTATATATTGTATATATTGTATATATTGTATATATTGTATATATTGTTTATATTGTATATATTGTATATATTGTATATATTGTCTATATTGTATATATATATTGTATATATTGTATATATTGTCTATATTGTATATTAAATATAGCAACCCCAACAAGATGAAAACAGTTTTTTTACCGTACAAAGGTATAATCTCCAATTTCTTTTCAGATTGATGCAAGTACTTCATTTCAGCAGAAACATGTTACATTACTGATGTCAAATTATGTTATAACCACACAAGCGAGCGATGATGGCGTATAGCACATTCTTCGTGACAACGTATCGGTGTCGCCCGTGGGCCCATGAACAGTCGGAAATTGACAACACGAGAGATCTTTGAAAGTGAATGTACTTCGAGTACTCCCAACCCACAGATAGATCGACACCTTGGAGTACATTCATTTGGATCATCGGGGAGGATTGAATTTTTGACATGTTTTTTTCTCGGTTCAGTTTGCCATAGCTTGCCCTTTGGTGATGATGCCAGGCACGAAAAGCGTGGAAGGCTCAAACACTAGATGCACAGGCAGGTTTCCCCTTCTATGCATTTTGCTTCCAAATTTGGAACATCAATGGAACTTACCAGTATCATATCATTATCAGTCAGTTGTCATGTTCAAGCAAACCCACAAATGAAATAGTTTCTGGCATTGGATTTACCGCATCACTTGAGGAATGGTTTACGAATATGTTCACCAAATCAACGCCGTATCCACAAACGGGTTAATCGGTGACAGGGGCGCCGGCGTCGCTTGGAACTGCCGGCAGAGGAGGTGACGATAAATTACGGTTGAAACAATTAAGAAACAGGGAAACAAATGAAAAAACAGTTTTTTGTTCAAGAAAGATAGGGGTTTCACGATGTTTCACATGGTTTATTTTGTGGTTGAAGCAATCATTAAACAGGAAAAATAGGGTTCTCACGTTTTATCACCGACAATTCTGCTTTGTGAAACAACAAGATGTTGGAATTGAACGGTGTATATTATCATCCAAACATGAGGATGCAAAGCGACAACATGGAGAACAGGAGCCGAAAGCTGACCTGCTGGATATGTTCCTTGAGTTGCGTAGGCCAGCCAGGGTTCTCATGGTTCCCATGGTTCCCATGGTTCGGAAATGGCCGTGGATGTCATGGAAACAGAAACCGTGGTAGCAGTGGTAGGTCTCAAGGGATCCACCGGCCAGGGTGGTGAAGACCCTGGTGGCCGAGGCACAGAGATTGGTGACCTGTGAATGTCGAATGTCAAAGACAGACAGACATGGAAGCTGCTCACGTTTTTCCCCATAATTTTGGACATGGCAGTTGTTGTTCAATGTGGACAGGAGCCCATGAAAGTAGGCAGATTTAGTGGATTTTCTGACAAAGTTTGTCTCTTTTGGAGTGCCTTCAAAGGCAACAAGGCATGACATCCTGTCCCAACCAGATCTAGTTTGGTTTGAAACGTCTAGGTGGAGATGCTGGGAAGCAGGCAGGCTGGTGTAACTATCCAGATTGTTTTGTGTTTGGATGGAGAGATGTTGGTTACACCCTCACGCAAAGTGGCCTAATGGGATATTGTGATTATGGGCACAAGGGAAATATTGAGTATCTAATCTACATAAACAATCATCAACATTGATAGCGGATGATAATGGGTAAATCTGAAACTTGACCCGACTGGTCAAACATGCAGAGTAAGCAGCTGCAGGGAAGCGCCGATGATGCAGTCGGGGCCCTCATATTTCACTGGTGTGAAATGTTTAAACCTTAGTGTTTTCAATCATTTACGTTTTTGGAGACTGTACTGTTTGCCGATGTCAACGATGTTGAAAATTATCGACCCTCAAAAAAGTGGGATCAGTCCAGAAAATGGAGCACCCCCTCCAGTGGATTATTATCATTAAAATTAATTCCAATGATCCCCTTAAAAATAGCCATTTGATATCATCCCAATTATCATTATCCCAATTATCCTGTGGATTATCGTAATTCCAAGTATCCCCTATAAGAATTGGATCATTTGAAGGGTATTCTGCAATTGTTCAGCAACCGTTGTGAGGTTGGCACAAGGATCTTTGGATGCTCTCCAGGCCAGAGTTCTGCACTTGGCATAAGATTTTATCTTGGCATATCTTGGCATGTTATTTCAGAAATCTGTGTTGTGTTTAATATTCTGCCTTGCATATGCAACATTTATATATCTTAGGGCTTTAGGGCAAGTCTCCTGCAAATCATGTGTATCATGTGTAGTTCTGTGCCGCGACCTCACAGTCGGTGACCAAGCTCGGTGAATTTTATGGACAGGATTGGGGGAATCATGTATATAAAATCATCCCCAAATTGGCCCTTTCCGTTTTGGTCATTCTGATCATTTGCCCAGAGGTTCTCCACGGAGAAACTCTGTCTCCAGAAGAGGCTAGGAGGGGCTTCCAGCCTGGGAGGAATGCCCATGGCTTTTCTGGGGAAAGGGGAGAGCAACAATAAACCACCCATTTGGGGATGGTTTATACCACCTATTTTTGGTGATTTGGGGATGGCTGATTATTGTTTTACTCACATTACTGATATTAGGAAAATGATGACGATGACACAGTGAAGTAATCGGAGTTTTTTTTCTTGCAAACCCATACGTTTGAGAAAAAAATCTCATGTTCCTGTTCACAGGGGTTTGTGAAGCAAATGAATTAAGGGGCCGCGGGCATAATGCTGAAGTGAAAAAATCCGAGGGTCCCCCATGGTCGACGCACTCAACTGGGTATCGCTAGCTGTGGCTTGGGTGACCGCTTGGTGGAGTGATTTGGCTAGGACTCAGGGACCATCGGAGTGCCATTGCAACTGTACTTGTGAAGTGAACCCCCCAATCTGTCCAACAGTTAGCTGGTGGTGGGAGGTGACTCGGAGTTTGGTTTTAGTGGTGTTGGGCATTGGCATAGGGGCTGGACATTTAGTGGTGGTGCTCTTCAAGGTCTTTAAGGTCTTTTTGGAGGTGATCACATCTTGCTTGTCAAGGCCTACGGCTAGTACACCTACCCCATTGTCAGTGCCTTCAATTCCCCACAGTGTGAATCCTGAGGACTCCAGTCAGCGACAACTGGCTCTTCGACAGCTTGAGGCCGTCAGACTCAGACGAAGTTTGAAGGCGTGATGGCACTCCCAGAAGGCACCAGGGTTTTTGTATGTTACGATCTTGCACCACCTGAACCAGAGCTATATCATGAACGATATATCCTAGCTTCATGTTTGTGCGGGCGTGGCTATCACATCGTGTTGACACCAGACTTTGACACATATGCTGAGCAGATTTCACTTGAAAATGATGACCTAAGGAGCTATCGAGTGGCTGCTGGAGGAGCTCTTCCTGCGGGACTGACGCAGGCCAACACCTACCGATTCCAGCAGATGCCCGATGCCGCCATGATGGTGCAGTTCAGACGCGATGCATACCAAGCTGCACAGGCCATGTCAGTGGTCCCAGGCGGGGTCGGAGTGGCTGCACCGATGGGGGCAGCAGCCCCAATTGCTCCCGCGGTTGTGGGGGCTGTTTTGGAAGATGAGGTGTGGGTACGCGTTGAAAGTCATGGTGAAAGCATGCGAGGCACAGAGGTCGTTTTGGATGGGTCCGAGGTTTTACATGGAAGCATTGGCATAAAGTTTGTGGACGGCGAAGGGTATGCCATCCGCAAGATGAAGAAGACGGAGGTTGACAAGTTCAAGGGCTTGGAGGCTGCCGCCGATGCCAGGCTGCTCCCATTGTCATTTCAGGGAACATCCAGGACGGAGAGGCAGTGGCGCGATGTGGCCAAGGAAGTGAAAGAGGAGAAGTTTGAAGATTGGAGCATTCCTGGCCCACGCACTGCTGCTTGGTGCATTCAATTTTTGAACAGGAAGGATGGACCTATGGCGCATCATCGATGGTGGGTTCAGGCCCACTCCTTGAAGCCAGATGCTTGGGGTGTGGCCGAGCATGACTCATTGATGAAGGCGGTGGACAAGATGGGGCGTTTTGATGCCCTGGACATGGCCAACATTGCAGGTGTCGAGCTGATCTTTCGACGTCTGCAACTGATAGAGTTCATCTACAGCGAGAGGGGTCCTGGTGGAGGCAAAGGCAGTTCGAAGTCTGACAAGAAGGATGGCATGACCGCCATGCAGAGCTACGAGGCAACGATCTTTGCCGGGGCCCACAAGGAGTTTGGAGATGTGATGGTGGCCCCACCGCTTCTGGACTATGTTGCGAAGGAAGTGGAAGGGGAGGCAGCGGTGCTCAAACAAGTTCGAAAAGCCCGAGAAGAGCGGGCTGCCCTCAACAAGTGAACTTGGTGTTGACTGTGGGGGGAGTACTGGACTCCCTTCTTGCTGGTGGTGGGGGGTCGGTCTTTTTGGGAGGTCCAGTCTGTTTTTGGCCTCTACGTGACCTACCTCTTCATTGCCCCCTTGGATTTTTCGGGGCCCTGTCCCTCAATTTTGATTTTGACTTCGGTCATCATTTTTTCTTTGACGATGGTGCGGCATCGGGGTCTTTTTCCTTTCCCTGTGCCTCGGGTGGAGAAGGCGACCAGCGAGTGCAAGGACCTCTCCCGGAGTGTTGTTCGACGGCTGGAGGCGCAGACCAAAGTCGATGTTTGGGTGCGGGACGTGGTGATAGCATTGAACAGCATGTTTAGTGGGGAGGAGAATTGGGGCAGTTTTGAGGAAGCCTTTGCACCAACCTTGAGTCAAAAGATTTGCCTGGCAAATTTGAAACAGGCAGTTTTGGATGCTGGTAAACCACCAGACGGCATCACCGGTTCGGGAGCCTTAGATGAGCTTCGAACCAAACCTGGGTATGGCGACTGTGCCAACCTGGCGCCTATGGATCTGGGCTTGTTGTCGCTGCCAAAGCCTGGGAGCACCGCTGCTTCGATGGAGGTGATCTTTGGTGAGGCAGCTGAGGGATTTTCCCGTAGGCTGATGTCAAAGGTGTCGGCTGATGTGGAGGTGAAGAAACGTTTGGAGGGGTGCGAGATAAAGATGCCCTATGTGGACCCTTCAATTCGTCACTGCCCCCGGAAATATGCAGAGTTTTGTAGGATGTTGCATCAACGTGGCTTGGTGGAATTTCATACCAGCTTCAAGCAGCAGGTGGGGGTGTTCACAGTGTGGAAAAAGAATGGAAAGCAGAGATTGGTGATTGATGCGAGATTGGCAAACCTTCATTTTGACCAGCCCGAGAAGGTAGAGCTAGCCACGGGGTCAACGTTTGCATGCATTGAGGTGGACAACGGAGAGGCGATTGAGGTTGGAGGTGTTGACATTTCTGACGCCTTTTACCACATCCAGCTCATCCCTGAACTGAGGCCCTACTTTGCTCTTCCTGGCCTCAAGGCAATGGAGATTGGCGATTGCGGAGGCAAGGGTCTTGGTGTTGGACCTCATGATGTAGTATATCCTTGTTTAAGGGTGGTCCCCATGGGCTGGACACATGCACTTTGGCTTTGTCAAGCGGCACATGAACATGTGGTGGATTGTAACCCTTATCTGGACCCAGAACTTAGATGTGTTGATCGTCGACCAGTTCCAGAAATGCGGAACTACATTCACACACAGTATGTAGACAATTTTGTGGCGTTTTCGCAGGAATCTGGCAAAGCCAGGGCTTTGGCAGAAATGGTTGGGGCAGCGCTGAACAGGCATGGTCTGCCCACTCATGACGTCGAGGCATCAAAAGGCATGGAGACCCTTGGATGGTTGTTTGCAGCTGATCATCCCACAGTGCGCATCACCAACAAGAGGCTGTGGAAGATGCGTCTAGCCACTCTTGAGCTGATCCGTCGTGGACGTGGGAGTGGTCGTTTGATCGAGCGTCTGGTAGGGCACTTCACATTTGCAGGTCTCATCAGGAGAGGTTTTTTGTCAGTTTTTCAGGCCACTTATGTCTTCATTCGGAAGCATTATGCAGAAGAAGTGGATTTGTGGCCTGAGGTTCAGCGTGAGTTGAAATGGGCAGCGGCATTGCTATGTCTTCTCAAAAGAGATCTCAGTGCTGAGTGGTCCACCAGGGTTCATGCGTCTGATGCGTCGTTGTGGGGCCGGGGCATTGTCTCAGCCGAGCGCGAGATGAAAGACATCAAGAGCTTGGGGCGCCGAAGTGACCGATGGAGATTCAATGTGGATGAGGAAATGCTTGTTCCCAAGGGGGAGATCCAGTCTGACTTGCTGAACTACCAGGTTTCAGAGCTCAGCAGCGATGCGTCTGTGCAACTTGGATCAATAGGGAAGCGGGACAGCTTGGAAGTTCCTTTGGAGTTCATTGGGGAAGACTGGAAAAACGTTGACGGGGCAAAATGGGAAAGGGTTGAATCAATTCCTATCCTAGAAGGTCGTAGCGTTGTTTGGCTTCTTCAGCATTTGGCACGTTCACAGAAGAACCTTGGGAAGAAGCATTTGCTGTTGACTGATTCCATGTCGGTCACGTTGGCACTGGCAAAGGGCAGATCAAGTTGTTCCACCATGAATAGGATTTGTAGACAAGTAGCTGCTGTTGAATTCATGACGGGCATGCACATACACTTGCGTTGGATACCATCAGAACTTAATCCAGCAGATCTCCCATCGCGGGCTCAAAGTGTGGCTTCCTTCAACTTGCGCGACGGTCTTTGGAAATTTCTTGAAGGCTATGTTGCAGAGGGGAGTGAAAAGGCTGCCGGGTGGAGAAGCTCGGCAGCCCGCTTCTATCTCCGGCACACCAGCCTTGGCAAGCAGTTCCCATGGCCTGGACGACACGGTGGTGAACCCACTGGAGATGGTCTTTGTGATAGAAGATGGGAAGGTGAAGCAGCGAAAGAAGCAGAGAGCAGAACAGAGGGCCCTGCTACATGGACCTCCTCCCGGCATCATGGAGAAGGGCGACAAGACCTTCTTGGAGCGCCGGGCCGTGACCACCAGCAGGGAGAAGAGCTACGGCAAGGCATGGGCTGGATTCAGCCGGTGGGCGGTACTGAATGGCCTCCCTGTCGCGAGTTTGTCAGACCTGGACCACGCGGTCACCAACAAGCTCAATGTGATGTACTTCGAGGGACAGGATCCAGCAGACGCCGCGACTTTGGTGGCATCAGTGAGGTATCACCGGGACGATGTGGCCCGGACAACCGACCTCCCCAAGTCCATGGAGGCCATGAAGGGGTTCAGAAAGTTGGAGCCGGCCCAGGGGCGCCTGCCAATGCCCTATCCGATGCTTTGCGTGGTGGTGAAGGAGCTTTGGCACAAAGCTCGAGCCGTGGCCATGTGGTTGCTGGTGGTGTGGGCCACGTGCTGTCGGCCGGGAGAGGGACTGAAACTTCGAAAGAAGGACCTTGTTCCGCCTTCCCGAATGTGTCCCCTGTGGATTGTGATCCTCAATGCGGGGAAGCCCAAGTTGCAGGGACTTGTCAGCCCGACAGGCAAGCTAGAGCTCCTGCCCGACACCAAGCAGACCTCGAAGGTAGGAGAGCTGGACGAGGCAGTGATGATAGACCAGCCTTACATGAAGGGGCTAGGACCAATGCTGCAGAAGTATGCCAAGCACAAGGAACCGGAGGACCTGCTGTTCGACTTCAGCATGCACGATGCCACCATGCACTTCAACAAGAGCATTGTGGAGAACGAGTACAACAAAGTGGGGATTGTGTGCACTTATCAGCTGCGACATGGCAGCGCGTCGACAGACGTCCTCACGGGGCTCCGCGATCTCACCACCGTGATGAAGCGGGGGCGATGGCAATCTCAGAAAAGCGTCCGCCGCTACTCCAACGGCGGCCGCATTTCCCAAGTGTTCGAGGAGCTCCCGTTGGAGGCAAAGACCAAGGCCACACAGGCCGAGTTATGGATGTCAGAGACTTTAGATGCTGGCACCTGAATCGGCAAAATTTCTCCATGATAGGTTTGGAAATCTTCAGCGGCAGTGGACATTTTTCACGAGCCATGCGAAGACGTGCAAAAGGAGTTTTATGCGTTGAAGTGGACATCAACCATGGCCCTCAATTTGACTTGACCAAACCATCCATCCAAAAAGAGTTGATCAAGCTGTTAGT